TTCAGCTTAGCTTTTCTCTCCTTCAATTTGCGGCGAGTAGCAGTCCTTTGTTCTTTGGATATGAAATCAAGACCACTCTCACCATCGTCCTTGATCTTGCTCTTTTTATGCTTAACGTCCTCGATCTTTCTCTTTTTCGGTTTAACATTGGGGCCTACATCTTCTTCATTAACCAAATCAAATTTCAGCTTTTCTTTGGATTTTTCATGTCTCCCACATTTCTTACTCCTTATTTTAACAATGTTAACTGGAGTAGGAGTATTCTTCATTTGCGAACGAGTCATTCGACTGCTCTCTTGTTGCGACTTTTTTGTAGGAGTGGGAGACTCAAAATCATCATCATCGGGGTCCTGGACATGCGCATTCGCTTCAGAATCAGGGGTTGAGGGCAAGTCCCTCAATGATTTAACTGGAGTAGGAGTATTCTTCGTTTGCGAACAAGTCATTCGACTACTCTCTTGTTGCGACTTTTTTATAGGAGCAGGAGACTCAAAATCATCATCATCGAGGGCTTGGACATGCACATTCGCTTCAGAATTAGGGCTTGAGGGCAAGTCCCTCAGTATTTTCGCAAAATCGAGCTTAACACCTTTTCCAGCAGCCTTCATACAACTTTTAGAAGCAGACATTTTTTAACGCATTTTCTACAGTAAAACAAATAAAGCTTTAACAAAAGTGAAGACAAGTGAACGAAAACACAAAAATCAAACCAAAAACAAAGGCCATGAACACAAAGCAGAAGCCAATTTTCCCAAATTGTAACAAAACTCAAAAAATAAATTCTACCCTAAAAGTCGAAATAACAAAGCATGCAAACTGAAACATCAAGTTTAGGCCCAGAACAAAGATAGAAGGAACACAAAATCGAATGGAAAACACAACAACATTGTAAAAAAAATATTCAAAATCAGAAAAGCAAAAAGATTAAAAATAAAACAAAATTTTAAACCAAAACTGCGGTAAAAGCATAAAATGAAACGAAAATTACCTGAAAATAAGAGTGAAAGCTCAAAAAATTACTTGAGACCCAACAATGGAGGACGGTTGCCTTCGTACTTCTCTGAGAAAAGCGTGAGAAGAAGAGAGAGAAAAAAATTTAAAAGCGAAAACCGTTAATAGTATTTGTGTGTTACTGGGTGAAAACAAAATTTCAAAACATATACAACATGGGCTAAACCAGGTTAGGGCTTCAAATGTGGGCTATTTTCGGATGGGCTGTATGGACCAAGTGATATATGATGTAATTTTGGCTTTAAAATATTAGTCCTTTATGAATAAATATAAAATTATTATTTCAAAATATGATAATTTTGAGAGACATAAAACTAAGATATGAAGATCAATTGGAACTCAAGAAATATAGTTTCGGCTATCTACTTTCATAAGAATTTTTAAATTTATTTCACCCTTATGATGTTCTCAATTACTATTTTCATTTTTAATTTATGTGTCTTAGTTTGATTGGGCACAAAGTTTAAAAAAAATAAGGAAGACTTTTAAATCTTGTGGTCTTTACTAAAGACGTGTGTAACGTATACAAAAGAAGTGTGTAACGTATCAAGATAACCTTAGATCTTGTGGTCATAAATACGTCATGTGGAATGTTGGAGCTGCAGAGAAAGTAAGACAGATAAATTGGGACAGAGGAAGTATTCGTTACTTTGAGTTACTGTAAATCTCATATTTTCAATAGATAAATAGAATTTTTTTAAAAATTTGTGGGTCGACAATAGCATTAGGCGTATTTAGGGTGAAAATAGCATGGGCTAGCCAATTTTTGGATTGGTAATCAAAAAATAGACAGTGTTTGCAAAGTCATTGAAACTGGCCACTATTTTATGCGAAGATAAAATCTGGACAAAAATTACCCTAGCTGGAGCGCGAAAAGTTCAAGCATAATATGCTGGATTATGGAGCTCATGCGTATAAACTTCAAACATATTATGTTGGAACTCCGACACGTTATGAAATTTCAGCACATTATGTTGGAGTCTCATATGTAAAATATTCGAACTCCAGCATATTATACTGAAATTTTTTCGGATTTTTAAGGGTATTTTTATTCAGATTTTATCTTTACATGAAAAGTGGCTAAAATTCGATTACTTTTGAAACTGTGACTGTTTTCAATTACCAGTTGTAAATCAAGCTATTTCTGAACCGGACGGTTAAGCGTTATATTCACAAAATTAAGGGGCATTTTCATATCTACCTATTTTTGGGGCCACCATTGAATTTATATCCGCGTTGCACAAAAAATTTGCAAAGTTTACCCACTCGTATCTGAAGCAGTTCAATCTCTTCAATGCAACTTCAGAAATCAAATTTGAAGTTCATCTTTCAAATGCAACTTTAGAAATTTGAATATGAATTAGTTCAATCTCTTCAATGCAACTTCAGAAATCAAATCTGAAGTTCTTCTATCTTTCAAATGCAAATTCAAAAATTCGAATCTTAAGTAGTTCAATCTATTGAATGCAACTTCAGATTTTCGAATCTTAAGTTGAAACATAAACTCGTTATTCGAATTTCAACAATCCAATATACGATTTATTGCCTAAATTTACTCCAGATAAGCTCAAATTTGAAACATAACTTTCTAATATCATAAAGAAAAAACCTCAATCATTAAATTATCAAAACAACAAATTTAACGAATTTATTTTGCAGTAAGAAGAAGAAAAAACTCTAATCATAAAAGAAGGAGAGAAAAATGTACGTATCTGAACTCTAAAGTTATCCAAAAATTGGAAATCAGTTATTGTTTTAAAATTGGAAATTTTCGTTCCTATACCATATAGGAAACTATATTACCAAATATGTTCATAGTTTGTATATTACCCGCCATGCTAATAGTATTTCTACAACATATAGGCAATTCATTAAATAAGGAATCATTGTAGCTGTAGGCTTCCTTATTTATGCGCGCTAAAATTGGGTAATTAAATATTCTTCCAGATCTTCTACAACGCAAATCACGCACCTTAATAATTATCGTTTGTTTCGTTTCAAATTTCGCGACTCTGTTTTTCATATTGTTCGCAAGAGACTTGTTGTGGAAAATTTTCTACTTGCTCACCAAGGTTGACTTCCATTAGGTCCCCAAGGAAGAACGTGGGCAGTTGGAGCGTTTGGAAAAAACTGGTCAATAAGTACGAGAGGGGGCAGATTCAGCGAGTTGATTGGCTGGACCGCCTTGCATTTAAAGCTATGGAGAAACTTTGAATTTGAATTTGGGTTTCCAAAAATCATTATTTGTTTGGATTGGGTGTTGTTGAAAATAATTGGGAATATGGTTTGGAGTTTATATCTCAATTTTGAGGGGTTTTGGTGAAGATTAGACTTGGTTTTGGCTGAATTTCAGATTGAAACTCGAAGAAGAAGAAGAAGAAGACATGACATACATTATATTGCAGAAATTGTAGAAAAATTGTAGACTGTTGTTTATTTATTTTTCTTTTATTCATTTAACTATTGTATGAAAGTTGAACACCATTGTATAAAAATTATATTTAAGTGGTATTATATTGTAGTTGTGTATGCATGGAGACGAAAAACGAAAACAAAAACTTAGGGTCATATCCGCTATGTATAACTGTTCGCGATTTCAATATGGAATTGAGTATCACCAATGAGAACACAGTTGCAGGTTTGTGTTGTTACATTTTCTATCAAATTCTGGTTGTATATCAATGTCCTACATGTCAGAGTAAATATATATATATATATATATATATATATATATATATATATATATATAT